AAAAAAAAAAAAAGTAACTTTTTCATTTTGAATTTTTACATAGATGTGAATGTGACTATTGTAATTATTTATTAAATCCAAAGACTGTCTGAAGCCATTGATCTTTAAATGTCATGATATCCCAGCATTTGGTTTTGAGGAAAATAAATGCAAAATTTTCCATGAAAAATAAATAAGTAAACAAATAAACTGAAATGTGCTATTAGTGTAAAATATAGCTGAGACTTTTAAGTATTTAATGAAAGAGAAGATGTAAAATATCTCAATTTTTGTGTTGAATATATGTTGAAATTTTAATTTTGTTTTGCAGTCAATAAACTTTTCACCTTTTAAAGCTTAACTACTAGAAAATTAACAGTTACATATGAGGTGTCCATTTTATGTCTGTCAGACTACTGTTGTAGAACTACTGTTAAGGAAGAGTGAATCTCTTCTGACTCAATAAGCCTTATTTAGAAAATTATTCTTTTTTAGTACATTTAGCCACTAGATTTACTTCCGTTTTAGACTTAAGGCCTTAATCTGTTACTCACTCAACATACAGAAAGATATTGAAGGTTTGACCAGTTTATATATGAGAAGTAACAGGTTACTGAGGGAAAGGCAGCAAGTAAGCTAAGGTGGTCTAAATATCAGCCGCGCACTTGGCCTTTGGCCCTGGTGTGGATAGACTGTCTGGACTTCTGACTCTGAAGCACTCAATCTTCTCTCTTGGGTTGCTGGTCCTTTTTGCCTGGCCTTCCTCAACTCTGGAGCAGATGCTGGCCTAGATTTACCACACAGTGTTTCTGCTCTCCTGTGTCTCAGTTATCCTTTTGTGGTTTTATCTTTCATTGCTGGCTAGTTCCCTTATCCATAGTGTAACTCGCTCTACCCTGGCTTGTCCCTGTCTTTGCTACCTAATCTGACACTAACCTCCAAGTCATTTTTTTCCCCATAATTTTATTGACAGACAAATAGCAATGAGACAGTTTCAAATCATCCAAGTCATTTTGAGGGATGGTAGGTGAGTGTGGTATAGATTTTAAGAGTCTCATGCTCTACCGACTGAGCTAGCTGGGCACCCTGTGGTATAGATTTTTAGCTTGACTGTTAGTCTTATGGAAGTGTTTGAACATGAACTACTGAATTTTTGTTATTTGTAGAAGCAGAACAGAGTGATGAACAGCTTCATCAAGAAATATCACAGGTGAGTTACAAAAATAATTGTAAAGGGGTTTGTTTTGGTGGAAAAATAGTGATGATTTTTCTACCTTTTTTTTCCATTTTCTCACCAAGAATTTTAATTCTTTATTGTAATTGCTGATTTTTGTGTATATTTTACTGTAAGTTGTAACTTGTTAGGAATATGTTTCTATTTTTTTAAATTTTTTTCCCCATAAATTTATTGAGAAACAAATAGCAATGAGACAGTTTCAAACCAAAATGGTAGGACAGTTTCAATAATTAACATATTGTATGCATTCT